ATTGTCAACACCGCAATATATGGGATAAGACAACCGTACTACAAACCACCAGATGAAATAATTGAAGATGGAGAATTTGTCATAGAGACGGTGACACCGAAAATTAAAATTTTGAAACATGCGTCCACGAATACGGATATACAATGGTCTGATATACCCGACTTAAAGGATAATTGTCGAATGATATCCAAAGAATTGGAGAAATTAATCAATTATCCAATTGAGAATTATGACAAAGATGATTTTATGACTAAGATGCAGACTCTGAACGATTGTATGTGCAAATTCGTTGATTCTTCTAATACTCTTAAGAAGATTTTAACTAAAGAGTTTGATACGAAGCATTCGATTCGTGATCATCTGAACTTGGACCAACCGTTCTATGACTTGTGTTTGGGGGAGTAAGTTTTTATTTTGTTTTGTTTCTTTCATCATTACTCCATTGAGTGTTTTCGGTATATCTTCATTATATTCATTTGCTTCCGTAACTGTCTGCAGCTCAGCTTCTTATTTCCATGTTAATTAGGTAAGGCAAAGTCTTTTGCCTTTCGGTGAGAATCTGTCGTTGCCTTATCAACAGCTCTTTTCTCTTTCATATTATTCCGAACTGTTAACTTTTGGGATTTTTTGGAACATCTTTGGGAAAGGAATTTGCTTGCAGATATTTATAGATTTACAAGGTGACCCGGTACACTTTTATACCGCTTCAAATAGATTTTTTTTCACGTTTTAAACCTTATTCCACAAATAATTCAAAACTAAAATTAGCCAAATTGGTCCAGCCGGTCTCGACTTCTAGTGAGACTTCCTAACAGCAATTGATTATTATATATTTTAGACATTTTTCACAAATTTTCCAGCTCCTAATATTCAACTACTGTTAACATTAATTCGTTATTAGTTTTTTTATGGCATAAGCCGGTAAACTCGCAGACGGATCACCTGATGGTAAGCAATCAGCGTCGCCCATGGACACCTGGAACATCAGAGGCGTTACAAGTGCGTTACCGGCTTTTTGGGGATTAGGGGTTTGAGGATCGTTGGAGATTCAGGGATTGGGGAGATTGGGGAAGGGGAGGGTAATTGGGCCTCCGGTATCCTCATTCACATGACGAAACACAACGCAAGCATTGATTCGCGTCGGTTTTCTGTGAGGCCGTGATATCACTCCGGTCGAGCCGGCCCATTCGTGCCGAAGCATGGCTCTCCCACACTTATACTCCCACCCAAAACCAAAACAGTAATTTAGGGTTTTATATTATGGTCTACATACTTAGCACTTGGAGACAGCAGTTTAATACGTTTAGGTCACTTTAGGTTTGTCAAAAACCGCTGCTGGCCTTTCGCTGTCAAATGTGTTGTAGTCTTTCAGTCTTATGATAGACTATTATAGACGAAATGTTACATATTATATTAAATGTTAAATATTTATTTATGTATTTTTATTGTTCAAGCAGTAGAAATACGTCGCGAGTGTGGGAGCGAGCCCACAGCGAACAAATGGATAGAAACAGGAATAAGTATGGTGAAAACAGGTTCGTATGAGATAGATAACAAATAATTATGTATAGTCATCCAAGTTATTTATTACGTCACATGAAAATATATCAATCTGCTAAACCAGTATAAAGAGATCTTCGAATGTGTAGAAAGATTATACAGAGCGAGAGCATGATAAACTGGTTACGCACAACCAGTATAAACTACCCGTTGAATGTACGGAGATATCATTCAAAGAAAGACCATGTTTAACTGGTTTTCTGTTGCTCGATGCGGTGTGGTAAAATAATAAAGATTGATTCAGTACAGAGGCAACAGCTATTGGTGGCTACTGAGCAAGTAATGGCTACTGTGCGAACAATAGTTACTAAAGATAGGCATATTAACTCGTCGAGTACCGTCATTATAGACACAATTATAGAACAATAGGTTGCGGTCACCGGTGACCGCTTGGTGTTTGACAGTTTAAACAGTAACGTACACAATAAATTATTATGTTTTCGGCTTACTTACGTTGTAATTCGACGAGGAACTCGGCAGAGGGCGCGCTGGGCCCGCAGATTCGAGTAGCTAGTAGCAGCGCGACAGTCGCCGCGTCGCGTGTCGCGAAATGCTGCTCATGAATATGAGCCTCTAGCATGGCTTGAAACTAGTCGAGTTCCTCGTCGAATTACAACGTGAGTAAGCCGAAAACATAATAATTTATTTAGTATGTCTCACGAAAGTTACAATACAGTAACGTACACGATTTAGTATAAAGTCAAGGATACAACAGACGATAAATATCTCACGATATGTATCGGCTACATGTCGAGCGAAGCCGGCGACATATTATACAGCGACAACGCGCGCCTTATGTCCACAGCGACGTTGGTGTTGCCAGACATGTCGACCAAAGTCTGGCAACGTCGCACTACTCCACCCGACGTCGCTGGCGACACGTGGCTCAGGACATTTTGTATCCTTGTCTTAACGATCGTCTGTACAGAATCAATCCTTTATTTTCTTACCTGTGTAGCAAATAGCGTGGTTGACTGTTTATATTAATGTAAGATATGCTTTCAGTATCACCACACGTGTCTTTTCTATTTATTTTCTTAAGCTTTTAATTTCATGTTTTCGTTTCAATGTCCGTGTGGTAGATTATATAAAATTATTAGACACGTATTTTTAATTTTCTTACGGACACGGGTACTTTCGATTATATCATATATTGATTTGAAATATCGCGTGACGTCATTTTTGTGTACGTTTTATACTAAAAAGTGACGTAGCTCCCACTCCTAAACTTTAATTCGTTTAAGTATTGTTTTCTTATACGACAAAATACAAAAATACGTGTCTAATATTTTTTCATTATCTAACTGACGGACTGATTACATTTTTAATTTTCATACCCTCCATCATCATCATCCCTATTAAGAGGCCAAAGTACCTTTGTTTTTGTGAAGTATTCGAGACAAGCTATACTTGTTTCAGGAGACACCGGGACTCATATGTCTCCTTCTCGTGCGCGCATGCTGCTCATGAATATGAATCCCGGTGCGACTTGAGACTTATACGAGCTTTTCTCGAATAATTCACGTGAGTAAACAGTAATTTTTAATATTAAAGTAATTGCATAAAGCTGAAGAGCTTCTTTTTTGCATACAATATATAATCTGTGATTTTTAAATTTAATGATAGACACACACAATTATTAAATTTTGGTATAATATGTGGATTACAAGCATGTGTTGCTTTCGTCCGTGCGTCACTGCAGGGGTGCCAACTGGAAATCAGTGTTGGGTGCTCATTGTGCCCAGCTTTTAGCTGAGTTAGCGACCCATTCGGCTTAGGCATGTCCGCCAATATCGCGCAGAACTTATGTTATACCTACCTATTTTTATTATCTTCCAGTTTTATAATTGAGCTTTTATCATTTTATTCACGCTCTCTTGTGTTAATTTTTTTCTTTTTTTAGTTATTTTATCAAATTGTATTGCATTGTTATTTTTTTGTTCCTTGCATTCATGCCGTATGCCGAATAAAACTCTTTTCATTTCATTTCAAGAGTTTATCTGTTTGTTTGCATGCGCTTATCCCCGGAACTACTGGTACAATTATTTTTGTGTTGGATAGACCATTTTTTTTAAGGCGGCTATAGGCTTGAAATCACCACGCTATGATCAATAGAAGCAGAGCAGCGGATGAAATCGGGGTAGCTAGTTAATTTACTATGACCTCACGAAAGTCAATACAAAACAAATAATGTTTATTTTTTATTTCAGAGACAAGAGACTTGCCTCGGAGAGTTTTTACTTTTAATTATAATATAATTTGTGAACAATTTTAAGATACTTTAGATAATAAATTGTTATTTATTAATTGAAATATTTTTGGTTATTTTATTTAAAACTACGGTTATTGGATTTTGAACTACGCAATGTGAGCGGTATGTTAAACCTCGTCAAAAAATTACGTGAATAAGCAGCCATACAATGTAATAAAGATCTTTAATCTTATATTTTTAAGGGCTTTTAAGGAACAGAGATTAAAGTTCCCTAAGATCGGTAAAGGAGGATCCAAATATCGGAAAAGAAGGATCTTAAGATCGGAAAAGGAGGATCCTAAAATCGGAAAAGGAGGATCCTAAGATCGGAAAAGGAAGATCCTAAGATCGGAAAAGGCAAGGCGTTCGTGTCTGGTGGGCTTTCTGCCCAACAGTCGTTCGTTGGGATTTTCTATCCGTGTTAATACGCATGTAAACTTCACATGTGCGATGTAGGACTTTGTGACGTCATCAGTTGATTTGTTTTCATCGATAGTCTATGTCCGTGAACTGTCGCGGAGAACCTAACGGGTTACCGGGGTTCCGGCTCGAAGTGCAGGAGAAGGAACGGTGTGGTTTTCAGTCAGTAAGAGTCTGACAATCCCTGTCGCCTCACCCAGGCGGGAGCAGTCATTCGATGATTTTCCGCACTTAAAAAAAAATGTCCGTGAACTGTCATGTATTGCCACAGGCTTGTGACTAATTCATCAAAGTTAGATTTTAAGATAGCCCACTAGGGTGCCTATAACAAATCAGCGGGTCTCATTATCATCCCACAAAACGTCCAATGCTGAACACAGACCTTGTCCAAGACGAAATAATTCAAAAGCATTTATTACCTACCTACCTAGTACCTACTGCCTCGTTGGCCGAGTGGCCGCAAGTGCGATTACCAGACAAGGGTTCGATTCCCGGGTCGGGTAAAGTTATATTGAGTTTAAAAAAAAATAATAGTAGCACGGAGTCTGGAATTGTGCCCGGTATATGGCAATAGGCTCACCCCCTATTGCATGGAACTCATACCATAAATAGTGAAAAGTGGGTGTTACATTGTACACCGGCATTAAGTGCTGTAATATACACCTCTGCCCTACCCCTTCAGGGATAAAAGTCGTGATGTTATGTTATTTCATTACACGGTGGGCGTATAATAACTAAGGTACACAGAATCGCCCAAAAGACAAAATCCAAAGTAAAACGTCGAAAACGAATTCGAAAAACAGCTTTATTTAAAAACAACAGTAAATATAAAGACCACAAATAGACCTCACCACATAGTTTCGTCTAAAACTAATTTCTGTTCATTCAAAACTGTCACAACATTTAGTGTTGCCATCAACTAAAATCTGACTCAGTGACACCCACTGTCTTCGACACAATTATGCTGGCAACAATATTCTTCATTAATTTCTCTGCAGTGTTCGCAAATCAACACTCCGGTCTGCACTTTACGTTTATGTTCATAATGGCAACACAACATATAGACGCACTTGTCACACTTTTGTTTATCAGAGTGGCAACACTCATTCTTGCTATTAGAGTCGCCACTGGACATGCAAGTTTGGCAAACCTTGCACGAACTATTTTGAGAATTGACGCATTCGTAGCCAAAATCTCTTTTATTTGGTTCTGCGTGTATATTGTAATTATTATTAACCACTGGTAGAACTCTTGGACCATTTCTCACCATTGGACGGTTGGAAATGTCAGAGATTTTCTGACTTGGCTTTCGAACAGTGGCGAATAGTCTGTTCACTTCCTCAATGGCGTCTTTCGACCGACTCTTTGCTTTGAGGGAATATTTCAATTCTTCCAACTTCATCTGTGGTATTGAAGAGGACTTATGCTTCAAGAGGTCTACGGAATTTCTACTGCCCACTACTTCTGGTTGGCTAGAGTTCACGATAATAAACTTTCCATTTTCGTGAGTTTTCTTTGTATCCTCTATAGAATATTGGAACGTACTAACAGTTAGTCTGGTTCGCTCTTTTACGTTTTTGTCATCATTTTGGTCGTCTGTTGCAACAGCTACGTCTTTCAGAAGTCCGGTTTTGACTTTCTCTTTGTTCATATCGACTTTTTTATTTTGGAATACGGTTAGTACTTCGTTCAGAAGACTCAAGCCTTGTGCGACATTTGTGTCTGATGTTTGGACTGTCTTAACATTGGGATCCTTGCTTGAAAGACATTTATCCTTCATTTCTTTTTCTTTCTTTATTTCATTTAAAACACATTCTTTTGACTTCTGGCATATAGGACAACTTTTTGGAATTTTCCTGCAACATTCGCTAGCTTTTCCGTCAACTCTGTTGTTTAAGCACATTGCACAAACGTACTTTTGATTCTTTTGATATTTTTTTGGTGATCTGTCGTCCATGTTGGCTTTGGCGATAAGATCCGAAGGTTTTATATATGTTGTTATTTTTATACAAATACTTCTTCCGTTTGCTACTGATATCATATGAAGATCTGAAATGTTAATTATTAGGGATGAGGTATTCTGACATTTGGTTTGGGGTAAATATAACAGCCATTGCGGTCCAAGTGGATAACTATATAGGAAGGCGGACGTGGAGATTTGAAAAGTAGTAAAAGGAGTGTGTAAGTATACTTTGCATGCGAGTATCTTGGACTGCGTTCAGGTAAATAGGATAGCCTAACTTATAGCCTGAAAACGCGGTGAAATGGTTTCAGTAAGGGATGATACGTGTTTGCATTGCACTCGACTTGGCGGGGGCACTGCCGTTATACGGAGCTAATCAAACCGAACCAGTTATAAAATGATAATCAATAAAATTAAGTTTTACCCTGTCAATGAAGCATAAAATGTCCTTCTTCATTTTGACCAGACCACAAAAATAAATTCATAATTATAAATATTTACGAAAAAAAAACAGTAAAATGTATATAGTGAAGTTAAAATGTCAAAAAGATATAAAATGAAATTCAAATCGGTTCAATGTTTTCTTCAACGGTCTATCATTGATATTATTTATTATGGTATTGCTAGAGAATTCTAGTGGAAGGAATAGTTTATGGTATTACTCATTTTGCCGTAGTGTAGCCCATAGCAAAGCAATCATTATATGAAACATCTCTTAACAGGGTATTCATTCTAATTTGAATTTTACCGTAACACATACTTGGTTTGTTCTCGAATGGGTAAGCAAAGGTGAATATAATATTATATATTTGAACACACAACCAACAGCAGAACAGCAACCTATTCACTCGGGCCTTGAAGACACCCAGGATATAACCCTTCAGGAAATACAGACTCGGGCAAGGAATTCTACTCCGTAGGTACGCATGAGGAAGCTAGATGCGAAGAGCTTCGTACGTATGAGTGGGACATCTACCATAAATCGGTGACGCTTCGCCGATTGTCTTATGGTACGATGACGGAAAGGACTAGGGGGAATCAAGTTATGCAATATCCCCGCACACTAACCGAAATGAATCCGGTAGAAGACTAAAAGGCTTGCAACCTTTCTCCTATGTTCGAGGCTTTGAACCCGGGCCTCCATAAGCGCATCATCATTGATGAGCCTCTTGGCGCGCCTATTGATGTGCTCTAACGCGTCCAGCTGATATTTAGCTACAATCTAGGAATAATTCCAGAATCCGTGCTGAGAAATTATCGATAATATTGAAACGGATGTGTAACTCGAGACCCCTTGCATGGTAATCGCAGTTGGTCCCATTTGCGACTACTCATCTAAGTCATTGCAAAATAAAATAATAGTACGAGAGATGACGACAAAAACCATGTCTCATAACAATACGGCAAAAACCCTATAAAATCGTTAGATTGTATGATTCTGAACCCGACTAGGTGTGTAGTAACGGTCGAAAGTGTAGCAACTGCGTGGGAGGCCATTTCTGCTGTGTCAAAAATATCTGAGTATCGAAAAGTTGTCTGATAGAGAAGGGGCTACACTTATTTTGTCTGATATACATTTTTTGCACATGTGAACAACTTATTTTATCATGTCCAACAATTTTCAGACATATTGCCATGATACCGATCGGTAAAATTTGTTAACATTTTCAAAACGGTCTCAATATTTAATGCGTTCACGTTTCCGTCTGAAAATTGTTTTGTTCGCATCAAATAATCTATGAGACATTTTTTTTTGCCTGGTGTTTTTGTGGTCAGATCAAACGCTACGCGGAAAATGTTTGATATTGGTATTTTCGAGTTCAGGATAATCGTATCTATCGATTTGAGGCGGTTTTGGCCGTATTGCTATGAGACAAAAATTTTGGTCGTCACCTCTCTAACTATAAGAAAATGAGCATTGCCATACAACGCGGCAATGCTGCCAGTCTTCTGGGAACGTTCCCCGGTGACAGTGATGCAGACGAGTACTTTCACACCTAATTAAGGGTGTTTTTTTAATTTCTAGTTGTTCATAGTTAATTTTAAGTTGTAAATATTTAGGTAATTATATTTCATTTATTTTTAAGCCATTGCACCATTCTTCCAGTATTGAAATCTTCTTTTCAATAATGGATGCCAAAAAAGCTGTCAGATTGAAAACAATGAGGCATACGTCAATAAAACTCAAAAACTGAAAGATTCTGAAAAAAAATTCTCCGTAATATATTAAATTTACAGTGTTATTTAAGTTTAAATAATAATTTTAAAGGTAAGACTGGCTTATCTCGTTTCCCTAGCCTAATCGTAAGTTGTAGTAATTTTATCTCACGCTAGCTTTTGTATGTGACTTTGTACACACATACAATTCGTGTGTTTGTCATTTCGGTAGGAATTGAATCAACAAACCTGCATACCAACTTTTCAGTAGTGTTTCGGTTGTGTGTCTGTGTTGAGTGACAGGCCACTCAGTAACAAGTAAATAAAATTTACTTCAAGGTTGTATCATTATGTTGCTTTTTTTGTTTCATATTTTTTTATTATTACTTACAAAAAAAGTGTTTAACATATCCATCCATAATTATCAGCTGAAAATCAAAATTTTTTCCATAGTGAAATATAAAACACACATTTAACTAATTGAATTAAAACAAATTACAGAAACGGAAGAAGAATATTTTGAAACAGAATTGAAAATATAAAAAATGCAAGCGGCCAATTTAAATAATGATAAATAAGAAGAAATGAAAGGAAGCAGAGCCGGTCACGTGAAAAAGAGAGACAATAGAGTCGATTCGAAGTTACTAAGAGACTTACAAGCTTCGAACCAAGTAACGAATGAAAGAGACTATGTGTCATTAAGAAATGACCAAGAAACTCAAGAATTTGGTTGCCAGTACGATTGCAGAAGGGATAACTTGATATGCACGTGCAAGAACCTAGTCACACTAAGGAAGAAGCAAGAAGTAAGATATTTTGAGGTGCCAAATCAGATTTATGCATACCACAAGTCGAAGAGTTCCACCGAAATTGGCGTCGGAAGTGTAAAAGCTTTGCAGAAGAAGAAAGTTAGGAAGATATATTTGCCGGAGACAGACGATAGAGGTGTTGGTAGCTCCGATTTGTCTCCGTTTGTTTTACGTAAGTATTACAATTTTTTAATTTAAATGTAAATACTGTTGATGAAGCAAAAGAGGTATTAAGAATCGTAGCAATTGGCGTTTCATAGTCTCTGCCTACCCTCTTGGGAGACAGGCATGACGTTATATACATTTGTATGAATGTACTACAATGTATCGATCTTAGCGGGTTGTGGAGTTATGATTCTAGTCTCTCTATGTAAAATATGAAGAGTAAAATAAGAAAAATCTTGCTTAGCGATACCAATTTGGAAACATACTTTAAAAATTTATTACTAACTTATAGATAATTTTGATTGCACGGTGTTTGTGTATAGGTTCAATCAGTATTTCACTGATTTTATTTCAAGAAATGACAAGAAAGGCTTGTAATTATACATTGAGAACGCAATCCCAATTCCACACAGTTAAGTGATAATTTGTTTAATAACTGCTACATGATGTTTTTCAGGAAAACATCGCAATCGGGACAGGATAAAACGCAATGAAAGTAAAGAAACCACATCAAAGTGTGTTGGAGGTATTATAGAATACAACATTAGTTGCGTCATGAATGAGAAACTATCGCCTATAGTGCTTACTATATCTGGCTCAACATTCAATCATGAATCAAGATCAAGTAGAAATATCGAAATTGGAAACAATTCTGTCGTAAAAAAGCTCACAAATACAACAACACAATTTGAAGACACAATCAAAGAAAATAAAGAAGAAGTAAAGAAAGAACACCCAATATCTCAAGTCCAAGATGTGACAAAAAGTCCAGTTGACTCACATAAAGATAATGGAAGTGTTAAAGAAAAGTTTAACAACCTTGTAGGGAAGGCTTATTCCTCTGATTCATTAGTGCAACATGTTCATAATCTCGAGGATCCAATTGAAGAAAAAACAAGTCATCACACTGTTTACATCGATCCTGTAGCAAGCAAATTAGAGAAGGAACACAAAAAAATAACAGCTGATAAATCAAAATCCAGAGATTCAAAATCGGCAGCTGACAAATCCAGATCGGATTTAAAAAGCCCTTCTACATTTAAACGAAGATTTGAAGCTATAAGACGAGGTTTAGCTAAAAAGGAAGAATTAAAAAAGAATCCTGTTATGGCAACTAAAGGACCAAGCCAAGAGAGTGTAGCGAGTCATAAAGATGTGTCCATTAACTCGGATCCACCATCTTTAGAAGGTCGGTCTTATTCTAACGCGAGAACATACAGCCCATTTCCACAGGTTTACAGCAGGGATAAAACTACTTACAATCCTAGGGCCTCTCACTACAGACGATCTATGACTTGTAGAAAAGACAGAAGTAGCACCCATTGGTCATCCCGATGTAACGATGATAGTGAACACCAAGGAGTAAAGGGCATGTTCAAACTATGGGGAAAAAAGGGCAACGTGGATGAAGAAAACTGCTGCAAACGACGCTGCACTCCGAGACCTTCGTTCACCACATCGAGAAAAAGATTTAGCAAAAAAGAAGACCTTAAAACTTTAATGAAGTCAGATAGTGATAAAAAAGAAAGTAGAAAGTTTTTTTTCTTTAAAAAAAAGAATAAAAGCAATAATAAAGAGAATACATATAAACCTGCCGTTACAAAGGGTATTACCACTGGACGTTGTGAAGTGAAGGATGGGCTGGTGATTAAGATATGTGGTGGGGCAAATACTGCAAATCAGGCATCAAAGGCACCAGAAGTCATTGAAGAACGTGGTGAAATTTTTCGGAAAGCTTGGTTGAAAGAGTTCCTCTCGCAATCAATTGAACCACGGAACAGCGTCCAAGTTAGATGGAACAATAAAAAATATGTTCCAAGCAGCAGCACTGTCGTCGAATTAATGGACAGTGTTTACAAAGACACAGGACTTGTTTTCAGGTCAAAAAGCCAAGTCACAGTGCAACCATCGTACAAATCTTTTACAACACAGCATGTGAGTTTTGTAAAACAAAAGATAGAAGCTTGGATGGTTCCCAGAACAATCACTGATAGCCCACAAATGATTCCTCTAACACAGAATACAGATGAAAACAAAAATAACAACATACAAGTTATTATTTCAGATCAAAAATGGTGCATTGACAAGTCAAAAGCGTTCTCACATAAAATAGAAGTTGTATTGCATACAGAAAATTTTACCAAACTTGACAAGGAAAAGAGTTCGGAGTACCTAAGGATTGATATACCAAAAGGATTCTTTGTAGATTCTAGCAGTGATGACACTAACAAAAATACAGTGAATCAGTCTAGTGATGAAGAAGTTTATAAAATTGTTGAATATGAGACAGGCAGTGATTTGAAGAGGGAGAAAATACAAAGGGGTTCTGATATAGGAGATTATCATAAACAGAATAATATAAAGGTGACTGTGAGTGTGAAGGAGGTCAAAGATGGTGTTTCGAAAGTTCTAGAGCCTCGTATACAAGGGTCACAGATCCAGAGAGATGTGGTCATTCAGGGAAGTCATGT